CGGTTCAGATCTTGGAGTGTTGTTCTCAGAGATCGAAATGAAAAACAGCCTGAAGAGCTCTTTCTTTCATCTCTTCCATTGTAAAGAGATATTCACCTCACAAGACAGACACCAAGTGGAGCCGCAGACTCTTTGTCATGTAGACAGCCGTCTGTCCGAGCCTCCACACTGCACTTCATTTTCTGGAGTTTCCCCTGGAGTTCAGAGATTCACACCATGCTGAGGTGGGGTAAATTCTGCCTGTTGGGAACATCTGAGCAAACCCAGTGGCACCTACTGCATTCACCAGTTACTGAGGGAGCTACAGCTGCTTGGCTCTGCCCTGGTGTCAACATTCCTTCCTCAGCATCAAACTCCCCAAGTCCCCTCTATGCTCCTCCCAAAACTGTGCTGACTGTTCACCAGGGAACCCAGAGGAGACCAGTGGTGATCTGGAGGCAGCTGAGCTAATGATGTGCACAGCCAAATCTAGTGTGAGACCTAGAGCACGTTCCCAGTGCTGACATCCTCTCTGCTCAGGGCTATGACCTCCTCCCTGCAGCTCTCCATTTAAACTTGCTCTCAGTTCCTTACAGAAGAGCGTTTCCAAGTCCTTATACCAGACCACACCGTCACAGCAAGACAGGGTGGAAAGTATTTGATCAGCTCCTCATTTGCACTGTGCCCACCTCTTCAGGCCCAGCACCAAGAACTGGGACTGTAGGAGGGGAACACTCCTGCTCACTGCAGTCAACAGCCTGAGCTCTCATCAGAGAGCTTGGTTTTGCCAAAGATTAAGCTCCTGCTCTTCTGCTACTCACTGCACTAAAGGCAGAGCTAGGCTTTCACAAACAAAAGTCATCAGAAGGGGAGACATCCAACATCCCGTCCATCAGGACCTCACAGTGCAGAAGATGAAAGATCCCAAGGCCTCCCTTGGTGCATCAGTTCCCAGCTATGTTCCCAGCCTTTATCATTTTCATAAGGCCATATTCAGACACATTGAAGCTGTCAAAGTCACCAGACATTCCAAATGGGGAGAGCAGTAGGTGCCCCTCGAAGCCTGTTAAGATCTAAGCCAGCTACTGAGAGCAGGGACAAAGGGGAACTTGGACCACCTGAGTACAGCCTGGCTTGTTTCCAGTGCTTTTTGCCCCTCAAGCGACCACCCACATCCACCTAACTGTCTCTCAGTGATTAACTCTTTTTATCAGTGTAACTATTCACTCAGAGCAGATCCTGATCTGGACAGAGCTGCAGGCCACCCACTGCCACCTCTGGGATGTGGATGGGATAAAGAGCTCAGCACAGTCGAGCTGGGAGCACAGAGCACACCAATGCCAGCAGCCCCATCCCAAAC